GCTTCACCAACTGGGCGGCGCTGCGGTGAAGACGTAGAGAACGTGCCAGCGGGGCGATCTCATCTTCCGAAAGCTCTCCTGATAGCCAGAGGAGCAGCGAATCTGGGAGGGAGTCTGTTGGGCAAGAAATGATCTTCTCGTAATTAAAAGTTAGGGTTTGGCCATGCTTCAGCGGTGGAAAGTAAAGTATTTCCCTTTACCTTCCGCTCACAGGTGGTTATATTCGGCATGATGGGTCGTCTGATGGTTCTTACTCACTAAATGAAACAGGAAGGCAATGTCAACCAAAAGTGCAACCAGGTGTTCTTGAATTCATTGAAGTTTACGATACCTTTGGTAAAGTTAGGGGCAGTGTACACACAGGCTTCCCGAGGTGTTTCACTTCCATCTGGACCAGTGTGTCGCCTTGCCACTCCACCTGACTCACTGTCCTCTCCACTCCGTGTCTTGTCCATAAAGAGCTGAAAGATACAACAAGAAGTGGGTCAAAAACTTCCAAATTGCCGGTTTTAAGTCCAGCCGGCAAGCAGCAAAAATATTTTTGTATATAATATCCATGATTCTTTTTTTTTTAACGAACTTGTTGCATTCCCCTCCCTTGGCTCTTAAAGGTTCATCTGTCCAGCCATCGTGCTTCGCAGGATATTTGAAAGGCTGCCATTTGTAAAACAAGTTGCCAAGGCGACCCCTGGAGGCGTGACGTGGAGGGACAAAAGACATGCCACAGCCAGATTCACACCACTCGGCGAGCCTGTCTCTTTTTTTCTTTTGCTCTTCTGTCACATGTTTTACGTGCTTTCGTGGCATCGAAGATTTTGGCACTCACAATTTGGTTTACGATGTAGAAATTTTTTTTTTTTTTAATTTGTAGAAGCAAAAGCATGGGAACAATTTGTATCCGTCGACATGCACTTCATAAAAAAAAAAGTCTAACTTTTATAAGAGGAGGTGAAGCATGTTTAGTCATTCAAAAAAATCGTTGAACCACCAGAGAAAGCAAGGTTCTTTTTTTTGTCATTTTTTTCCTCTGCTGCTGGCGATGTGGAAGCCGCTCCTCTTTGTCGTCTTCCTTTTCCTCCCTCCCACTTTGCCACCACCGTTATTTCTGCTATTTTCGAACCAATCTCTCTTGAGCTCAAAAAGCCATTTTCTTTTTCCTCAGGTGTTTTTTTTTTTCCCCCACCCTCACAACTGCCTGATTGAAGCCGGGAGACGAGGAAGACAATGATGAAGTCTCCTGACTCCATACAAATGCAGCGGAGGTCTTGGCCGGGCTCCGTTGCTTTTTAATTTCATTTGTTTGATATCTATCTTCTTTTTTTAAATGATAATCTCCTTGCCACCAAGACGACGGACACTGGCAAAGGAGGAGGGTCATCATATCCAGTCATCAGCTCCGTTGTACTTGACACCGCTCCTCCTTTGTGTAAGCTCATTCCTGTGACAGAGTTGTTTGCATGTGTGCTTTGTGCAGTCCAATGTATTCCTCAATTAGAGAGTCCGCCATGAGGAGGGAATCTGTCATCGGGATCGTCACCTGCCTGCTGTTGGTTCTTCACTCGAGCAAAGGTGAAACTTTACTGCCATTTGACCCAAAGTGAGAATCGGGCCCGTTTGGAGTTTTTTTGTCTTTTTTTAGATTTATTAACTGTATGTACATAGTTCGCCTTTTGATTCATGTTTGTCGTGTTATTATTTGAAAGTTGTGACAATATATCATGTAGAGTCCAGTGGAACGCCCCCTCCCCCCCGCGCTTTACGTTTTAAATCATTTTCAACTTTTTTAATGTACTCTTTCGCACCTGTTCTCACTGTCTCACTCGTACAGTTCTCCAAATAAGATGCAAAGCTCGCTTGCCTCAAGCTGTTTATTTGAATGTCTTCAACCGTTTTGTCGAATGAAAGTCTGCTCGCTTCACGCTAATACATAATGTAAAACTCCATAGATGTTGTGGAAATGAATCATGGTCCTCCACCGGCTGTCCATTCCAATTCCTGCCTCTATTGTAGCTCAGCAAGCCTGGGAGGTGGCGGGCGCCACCATTGAGCATGCGAGCATCGATCAGGCGCTGTTGTAAAAAAAAAAAAAAAAAAAAAAAGACTGACCCAGTCACTGAATCAGTTTCGAAGAGGTTTGCGACGACAACCCCTCTCTTTATTTTTAATCACTGAAACTATAATACACCCGCGACCCTAGTGAGGATCAAGCGGTTCGGAAGATGAATGAATGAATGAACTATAATACACGAAATGATCAAAAATCGGTTAATCGGGTAATTAACTGTAAGCAGGGAAAACTAGTTTTTTATATGACTAATCAATGGAATTGTCAATACATACAGAGTGAGAGCCCTCATGGATACTGTAATACAGCAATTTTCCATTTCCAGCACACAAAACAGGTGAAGACTCCCTCCAGCCTTCCCTGGTCCTGTTTTTGGGTGCCGGCCCGCAGTCTATCCTCAGCGTGCTGCTGCTGGCCATGACCGTGGTCCTGTCGGTCATCATCTACCTGTGGGTCCTCAGGTACATCTGCGTCGGCTGCTGCCAGCCCGTCGCCGTTGGGATCGACCCGGAAGCTCTGGCCGAGATGTCGTCGGCCCTCCTTTGAGTGACACTTTAGCATTTACGGATGGAAGTGTTTCTCTTCAGCCACTAATTGAAATGCTGATAATCGAGGTCTGCATGCAAACGGAGCTTTCTTTTCACTTTGAATAAACATCACTAATTGTGAACCGCTCTCCTACTGAGCTTATGTCACTGGCATAAATTAGTGTTTCTGCATGACAGACACGCTCAATGTTGCGCATTCACAGTTCACCCACTTCGGTGTTTTTAAAAATTGGGAGAGTATTGACAAAATATTAGAGGATTTTTTTAACCTTACTTAAGACCACAAATGCTGCTGATGGGATGTACATAACATAACAAAATGTGTTTATTGGTTGACCATGAATAGTAACTCTTTGTCCCTCTCCTGTTATTTTCTACTTCAGCTTCTGCATCTTCTTATATTTATAGCTTGATAGAATAATACCCAAGCTTCGTGACGCTGCCATTATCTGTTGTTGCCATGGCAATGTCAAATGCGGCCGTTCCCATGCGGGTATTTGTCAAGTGTGCGAAATCCACCTCCCAACCTCCTACCCCCCATGCAGGGTGCACTGCTTTTGGGCAAGACATATTAGATGGACAGCATCAAGTTTTGGCGCTCGTTGCTACGGGTTACACGGGCTCCCAGCATCCACGCAGTTGCCATGGCAATCGGGAGTTTCACCTCAGCGCCGGAAGATAGCGCTAGACTCCAAGTATGGATTGCACAAGTCCTCGAGTGAGGAACAAGACTGAGGTTATTGGATTGTCCTCTGGGTGTTTAAATTACAATTGCTCACCAATTACATTCAGTCTGGAGAATACTGGACATTCCCGCAGGCGTCAGAGTAACGATCCTCGTCAATATTCTCAATCAATTACAGTATACTGTGATTTATTTTTATCACAGACATGAAAACATGTAATTGCCTCAAATTTATGCACCCAGCGTTGTCTGTTAATTTCATACGAATTTAAACAAATAGAAAAAAATAATATGTTTTTACACGCACACAAAGTGTCCATTGGCATCATTGGACGATTCATCGTGAGAGTCTCCACGAAGAGTTAAGCAGTACATTGTGTTCCGTACAATTGGGAGTCAAATAAGGACACGGGGCGTCTGAGGGGCAATCATTTGATGGCCCCTCCCAAATTGTGCGCACCCTATCACCAAAGATTGACGTTTGCTCGGCGATGCATTGTCGTAAGGGCTTGATGCAATGAGGAGGAAAAAATAAAAATTAAAAATATTTTTTAAAAACCTCAAAAAAATCATAATGGCTGCACTCACCGTGGACTTCACGTTAAGCAAGTCTCGTGAACGTTTAAGTGCTGTGGGAAGACAGAGATTCTGATTCAGAAGACATTTAGGCGAAGAATAATCACAATATTTTTATCACGCATTTAATCGAACATTGATTTATGTTGTACTGTTTGCCAGCATTAAATGGTGACGCTTTCGATTTATTTTTTATTGTTTCACATGTTTTGCGTCGTATCTAAAAACTCCGAGGCTGGGGTTGGTCCCTGAAGGCAACATAGGTTGTGAGATCAGCTGATTTTTTACGCTGCCATTTTGTCCGGCGGAGACTGAAGCAGCCGTCCAGCCTTTTCCTTGTCGTGTCTCAGAACAAGCCCACGTCAAGACGTTCCACGTTGCGGGACGGGGATTGGCAATAGCTTGGACAGCGCGAAAAGGAGAGCGAAGGCGAGCCACGGAGCGACAGCGACTGTCATTTTTTAACATCACCTCTCCGCCGGTTCAACTCTTTTCCAAGCTAATGTCGGTAGCTTTTTTCGGCTAATACCCTCCGCCCCTTGCGCCCTCTTCCCCCCCTGACTGAGACATCACCTGTCACCGCTGGTGACCCCCCCGTGTGAATTTTACAAGTTCTAGCAATGCCCTTCTCATTTGTGTCTGACTTTTTATGCTCGAAGGAAGAGTTGACCAGGACTTTTTGTTGCTAACGAGCTAACAAGTTGACGTGGAGGAAGGAGGAACTAAAAAAAAAAAAAAAAAATCTAATTTGGGTTTTCATCATCAGCATTTGACTCCCACATTGGAAATCACCCCCAACAGCCCGCATGAAGCAAGATTTTTTTAAAAACCTCAAAAAAATCATAATGGCTGCACTCACCGTGGACTTCACGTTAAGCAAGTCTCGTGAACGTTTAAGTGCTGTGGGAAGACAGAGATTCTGATTCAGAAGACATTTAGGCGAAGAATAATCACAATATTTTTATCACGCATTTAATCGAACATTGATTTATGTTGTACTGTTTGCCAGCATTAAATGGTGACGCTTTCGATTTATTTTTTATTGTTTCACATGTTTTGCGTCGTATCTAAAAACTCCGAGGCTGGGGTTGGTCCCTGAAGGCAACATAGGTTGTGAGATCAGCTGATTTTTTACGCTGCCATTTTGTCCGGCGGAGACTGAAGCAGCCGTCCAGCCTTTTCCTTGTCGTGTCTCAGAACAAGCCCACGTCAAGACGTTCCACGTTGCGGGACGGGGATTGGCAATAGCTTGGACAGCGCGAAAAGGAGAGCGAAGGCGAGCCACGGAGCGACAGCGACTGTCATTTTTTAACATCACCTCTCCGCCGGTTCAACTCTTTTCCAAGCTAATGTCGGTAGCTTTTTTCGGCTAATACCCTCCGCCCCTTGCGCCCTCTTCCCCCCCTGACTGAGACATCACCTGTCACCGCTGGTGACCCCCCCGTGTGAATTTTACAAGTTCTAGCAATGCCCTTCTCATTTGTGTCTGACTTTTTATGCTCGAAGGAAGAGTTGACCAGGACTTTTTGTTGCTAACGAGCTAACAAGTTGACGTGGAGGAAGGAGGAACTAAAAAAAAAAAAAAAAATCTGCAGAGGGCGATTGTTGTTGCGATTTCACACGGATTGTTCGCATTTCCCCCCCTGAGGTGCCCTGCGTGAAACCATTAGACCGTCCGTGTGACAGAGCGGCCAGTAAGCTATGTTTATTTATGCGCACAAAGTTATTTCCACTGTTGGCAAATCCCACAGCGGGACTCTTTTTTGGTTGGAGGATTGCAGCGGAAACATGAGCTAACACAGACTAGCTCATAATAGTGTCGTAGGTTTAGAGAAAGCAGAACATAAAAAAAGAAGCCTTTTCCGTTCGCTTGACAGAGAAGTCACGTTCAAGTGTCCCCTCGCTTGGGAGTCGACCCACTGATAGGATCGTTGTGCTCTTTTTTTCGTTCTTTCTTATTTTTTTTTATCTGAACCATTGAGCAAAGGCACATTTGAGGTGCCGAGAAGGAGACGTGATGTCTGGCCAATCGATCACAGACCGGATCGCTGCAGCTCAGCACAGCATGACCGGATCGGCGATCAGTAAGGCGGTGTGCAAGGCCACCACGCACGAAGTGAGCGGACCCAAGAAGAAACATCTGGACTGTGAGTGCATCGCCTCTTCTTCTATTCATCCATCAGAAAGCAATGCTTAGCTTCTGGCAAAGTCAATATCTCTCTTCAGAAAGTTGTGCAGAGTCCAAAACCCAAAGAAATTAAATTCCACAAAACCCACAATCGGAGAATATCTGACTGAGACCGTATTAGATGTCAAGTGTGCTTATTTCTAGTTGTTTATTCGTCACTTCAGTTGAATCCTTCTGTAAAAGTGACACAGCAATCTGAAAAGATGTCTAAAAAATGGCCGCCTGCCAAAATGCTGACTCTGGTTTTCAACCTGAGCGCAAGGCATCAAATTTGAAAATCAAATGATGGGTTTGGGAAGACTTTAGGTATTTGTGTGTGTAATTATTTTTCGCATTTAAAAATGACAAAGGGGACAGTAAATTTCAATATGATTTTTGTATTTCCACACCAATCTGATTGAAATAAACACCACAAGCAGAGAAGCACTGTTTCTTGCAGTCCATCTTTGGGATATAAGAGTTTTAGGATCATCAACATAATGTAGAGAAATGTTTCAGTGTCCAGTAGAAGTTCTGTACAAACCTGTCCTGACCTTTGCAGCCAAAGTGCCACGTTCAGCTTAATAATTGTGTGCTATTGATTTCTCTGTGAGTGCGACAACCTTCATGTGAACTGCGTCCGGCGAGGGTGTGTGTGGTGGTGGTGGTGTGGGGGGGGGCTTGAAGTTGTCAGTGCAGCCAGTTCATGAGTGTTGTCAACAAGTTGAACCCGCAACCTTGCACCTCATCGGATGTGTTTTTTTGCGACTGTGGGAAAGGGTCACACTGACAATAAACGCCTTGAGCACAGTGCGATGCCACCGTCGACCTCCGCCAAGCACTGCAGAGCTTTGGAGGCAGCACCCGAGTGGAGTTATCACGTCGCTGGAGCATTTAAGGAACTAGTGGCAGGATGTGGTTTTCCTGAAAAGTCAGATGTGGTGAGAGGAAACGAAAGTCAGAAGTTCGCTCACACGTTGCAGTTGGTTGCATTTGATGCTTCAGGAGGAAAAAAAAAAGGGACAAACAAAAAAGTTTGCGTCGTCGCTGACAAACATGCAACTTTTCTTCCCTCTGTTAAAAAAAAAAAAATTGTCTGACAGCATGCTGGGAATGATCTCACTGGCATATTTGCCTGCTCGCCAGAGGCCTTTCAACATCAGCAACCAGCAGTAAGTGTGACATTCAGGCACCACTTGCGAAAATAGGAACAATTTGAAAGCCACTTCCCGTCACCATTTGGAAAGTCCGCCTCCGTTACCCAGTAGTGGGCTCTGTGTTGCATTTGGTAGCTGGGCCTTCAATGGGTCTTAATCTCGCTTAATCTGCCTCTAACTACTAGCACTATCTATGTTTTGCGAGTTAAAGTTGTTTGGAACAAATTTTGCTCTGACCTTCCAATCAGGACAGGAAAAAAAAAAGTGACAATGTTGACATCAGTTTGAAGTTAGATCATCCAGCACTCCCGATTGTGACGGCCGTAGGCAGATTAAATTGTCATGACAGCGCATGCAGTATCAGGTTCGACATTAACAGCAGCCCGATGGCCCGGGGCCACTTCGTCTGGCTTGACCGGGCCAGTGCACATTGTATAAATAGGTGCGATAAATCTTTTCAATATATTTAGTTGTATCCACCTGAAATGTTTAATCACGATTGATCTTGTTTTTTTTTTTTGGCGTCATGTTAAATCTTTCTGAAAGGAATAACTTCAACAAGATATAAAGATCAGAAAATATCAAATATTCAGTTAGATTTTATCCCGCAAAAAAAATCCATTAGAACCGTTTATGCTAACACAAGGTAACATGCAAAAAAAAAAAAAAAAGTCATTACGCAGAAGTAATATATCTTTAAGGTTTAAACAGGGATGGGCAACTGGCGGCTATGCTACCTTCGACCACATTCTAAATAGCCCTTTGATTAATATTCAAAAACAAAATGTCTTATTTTTTTAACAAACCCAAAAAGGACTACAAACATGTTGATAAACATTCAATATGTTTTACATTAAAACATGGTCGAAATAATCCTGAAATAAGTGAAAAAATCAAAAATACGGGAAAAAAAGTCTGACGAACTGCGAATATGCAAGGCTCGACTGTAGTTTCAAGTTGTCTGTCATATGACCAATCGCCACTAAATGGCACACAGTCTTGATTGCGCTGACACTGAGTCCTCTACCGCCCTACACTACAACCTGAGTCGGCCAAATCATTTTATGCGAATTTGGAATGATGCGCAGAACAAACACAGTACCTCAATAATCTTAAAAGTTTGAGTGAGAAGATTTTTTTTGTGTTTCTACAAAACAAGTTCTTGCACTTAATGCAATTTTGCACTGGAAAAAGAATACAGTACGTGGTAATTTTGTTGTTTTCTTAAAACCCTTGGTTGTTGTCTATCTTATACCTGCATAGGGAAATGTATGATGAAAACTAAAGTGTATCAAGATCATGTGTTTTGCCCATATGCAAAATAGCAAAATTTTTGACATGCATTTGGTTAGGAAGTGTGTGAAAGTGCATGCATAACTAATTCTCAGTTGGGTATAAGCGGCAATCAGATGGAAGAGTCTCTCCATCATTATCCGTGGAAGACATCTCCATAAAAGTCAGTGAGACTCGAGAGGAGGTTTTTCAGTGGGAGACCGCATGGGGCCAGTCTTCTTAGGACCAGCTCAATTGTTGTTTCATCATCTCTCAGCCAGTCCAGAAGAATTGTGACATTTTAAGTCAAGACTATTTTCCCTTCGGCCAGCACTCCTGTTGTCATGGCAGCAACGGAGGCAGCTGGCTGGTGTTCAATGGACTAAGTTGGCAAGGGAACCTGAATGGTGATCATGGCCGCAGTCACACGGTTTGTTGATGAGGTTGTCATTATTGCGCGCGTCTTCCAAAGCTAAATTGCCAGTTTGGAGGGGCTTTTCTAAATGAGAGATTTATTGAGCATGGTACATGAGACACAGTGTGTAAAATGTGGAGAGAAAAAAAAATTGGAAATGTACTCCTCAGTGCCTGTTTTCACTATCTCGCTCTCGTATGTCTTCAAATAAGAGGCCATGCGTTCTTTTTTTTTCCCAAGTTGTTGATTTCTCACTTAATCGATGTTAACTTTGTAACATTCGCTGCCATTGACGCCGATAGAAGTCAAAGATCCATTTTGAGCGGGCTGAGAGTGAATGAGTTCAACAGAAGAAAATGAATGAAACGTTGGATAGTTACTGTCCAAATGTTCAACCAAAGCGTCCAGTGACACAATTCTACGAGTGTAATGCTAACATCACGTAGAACACCATTGACGGGCTTAGGGATATTCACGTCGATCTTACGGTGAGAGAGTGATAATAATATAGTAGCGGTTTGCTGTAGCATTTGGCCCGTACATCGATTGCGGTCCCGTGATATGTGTAGCTGGACATTTTGGGCTCGCTTGCGACTTGATGGGAGGTGAGTAGAATGCTATCCGAACAGAACAGGGGTCGCCCCTCCCTGGCTGCTGACTAAAGATAGGTCCATTTGAGACTCCCAGGCAGGAAAGGAGGTTCGTTGCTCAACTGTGGAGTGCACGCCTCTTTCACTAAACTGGAACTAGAAGCTTTTTTTTTTTTTTGGATTGCTGAGTTCATGCATAAATACAGCACACATAAGAAGTACATGCTTCTGTGTTGCTGTGTGAGTACGTGTGAACGTTCAGTGTTCGTCTCTGATGTGGGGGTACGGCGAGGGGAAGATGGGGAGCGGTATTTATAGCAACGTTCTCCCGGGAACCCGGGTTCAGCCGCTTGTTTAGTTTGCCGCACTCTACCTATGTGCATCGAGCTGACTTGATGCTGTGACGCACTCCGTCGTTTGCACGCAGTCCCATTGGGTCGAAGTTGATCATATCGAGATAGCCCCCCCGACATAAGAGGGAGTCAGTATTTATTTCTGTGAGGAGACATCCCCCCCCCCCTCCCCGGGATGGCATGAAAACAACAGTGCTCAAACTAATCTATTAATAGGCAAACTTCTGTTGACACTCTGCCTTTCCTTCCTCTCTGCTTCTTCCTTGTTAATTTCTTGATTCCTACGTCTTTCCTTTTACCTGACGACACAATCTGCTCCCGTTTTTTTTTTTTTACACCCATCATCGCTTGTTCCATTTTGTGAAATGGAAAGGCTTCTCTTCTCAAACGTGAGTGATGAAAGAAGCAGTTGGATGCAGCAGAAAATCTGTCGGTGTCTTTCACTGTTTGTCTGCCAGAAAGACTGCAGTGGGTTTTCTCGGCTCTACAGAGGGCCGTGGAGCCTCACCCTGCTTCACACTTCTTCAGTGCTTACCGTCAAGAACGCCGGGGGGGGGGGGGGGTGTAAATGCTGCTTTCAGTCTACCCAAGGAATGGGAATGAAGCGCCAGACGAGGTGCAGACGCTGCCAGGTGTTAATCCTTAGCAGCTGGAGGCTCCTCGTCTTGTTGTCTCTGCACAGTACAGTATGTATGCTCACCCCTAAACTGCAACACCTAAGCGAGAGCGCATAAATCTTGCTCTGGCCAACCTTCACTGGCTACCTGTGCACTTAAGAGATTCCGCTGTTGGTCTTCACATCACGAAATGCTTTGAAAAATAAAATTGAGTCGTATCTGTTACTCAACAGTTTGTATTTCCAGGTCGTTAATACTTGATAGTCAGAGGGACCGGAGGAAGCTTCATAGCTGACCAACTAACACATACGCACACATGCACACACGCGCACATGTACACGCGTGTCACTTGGTGCCAGGAAGTCTCTGGTCTATTGTGGCTCAATCAAAGGCCACCGAGGTCAAAGATGAGTGATAACAATGGCCCTCACAAGAGTGAGGCATAAGATCCTATTCACAACTGTGTCTCTGCCAGCTTTCTACAATAGTTTTGGATTTTTCGTTGTAGTTAGTAGCCCCCAATTCAATTCGTCTTAATTCGTTACTCGGGCAATTTTTTATTTTTATTTGTTTTAATGTTTTTGAAAAGGCTTCTTTTTAGTTGAGCTTTAGTATTAGTTTTAGTTTTTATTTTAATTTTTTAAAAAAGAGAAAACAACAAAAAGGGTCTCTAAATAGTGGTGTTATACAGTCATATAGACTTCAATTCCCAAATGTTTGTCCTCACGTCTTCTTTACGACCAAACAGGAACCAAAATAAGTTCTCCTAAAATGAACCGCAGAAGCGCACGTATGATAATTGACAAAAAATGGAAACAAAGGACTTTTTCTCTAGAACTATCGTCAGTCTTGCTCGTTCTATAAACAGAAAATGTAGTTTCATTTAGGTTTTGTTTATTCAACCCTTTCACACACCCTGTAATCTGATAAACTGTCCACTGTAATAACCGCTGTCCCTGAAAGGGTTAAAAGCATGATTCACAATTTTGTTTTTGTTTGTTTTTTTTTTGTTTTGTTTTTTTTGTTTTTTTTTGGTCCCATTCGTCCTTATGAACTCTCCTAATTTTGGTATCAGTCCATCTCGAATGTATCGCTCAACCTCAGAGCAGTTTGTTCCGGGGTCAGGAGCAAGATTGGAGGTGAAGGATCGCGTTTATTATTGAGCCACTTGCCTCTTTGTTCTCCTTAACATTTCCTTTTAATCTTTCTGTCTGCCATTCATGTTCTGTCATCTTTTCTTTTTTTTCACGCACTTGGCCTTGCTCCCCCCCCCACACACACACACACACACACACACACACACACACATCGCTCTTTCAGTTCTGGGATCAGTGACATCTCATGCTTTGCACTCGGCCTGATTAAGTCAGCACATGTAGCCTCTTTACATGATCACACTCGTGCTCAAGCATCCCCGCAGACCTAATAAGACTTTCCTCCCGCTTCCAAACTGAATAAAAACACACAAGTTAGGTTGAAATGAAGAGCACATTCTCTTCCAGGGTTTAAGTTAGCGAGGGTAAATAATACTTATTTGTGTTGGCGCAACACCAAAATTCTTTCTCTCCCGCATAGCATCCCCAGAAATCTGTACGGAAATGTTAGAATAAGGGCTGACAAAACCACTTCAAGTTCTCCTATTTTTACTGTTTCAAAATATTAGGATACTGAAAAGCTAAAAAAAAAAAAATTACTGCTTTCACTGTCTTTGTTCCATGATTTGATTTTTTTTTCTCCATGTGCAGCACGTTGTAGGCAGCGATGGTTGTTTTAACGTGCGATATAAATAAAGTTGAGTTGTATGTATGTGTATGTGCCCAAATATATTTCATTCCTATGTTAGATTTTACCTGGAAATACAGTGTATGCATATACAAGCTTGTAAATCGTATGGACTAGCAACTCTTATTTGACTGCGTTTTACGACATGATTGTCTGGCAAGTGTCTTCCTTTATTGCTAATGACTCAGTGCAACTGCATAGCTGTGGGCTGTGTACTCGACTCCGCTTCAAACGTTTTTTACTAATTGCCTCGTCAAATGCAACCGGTCGGGAGCGCGATCGTTCACCGCGAAATAATTCACACTCGTTTGAAGGGAAGTCTTTGAAATGCGTCACACGCAAACCCGTACCTGTCGCTCTTTAATTTTTGTATACTGTGATTCAGGATGTCGGTGAGCGACGCTCCCCGCCGATAGTTTTCGAAACACGCCTCGCGGGCAGGCTAAATAATTCCAGATGACACTGTACGTGCATAAGTAAGGCCCTCAGGGGTGTTCGCGTTTGTCGCCATTTCTTGTCTCTGAGTTTCGACAGAAGACAGAAAGTGACCTCACAGTTGCTCAGGCATGACTGGTCATTACCTGAGCACTGAACATCTGTGAGGTCATTTTCCGTCGACAGCAAGTGGCAAAATGGCCGCCGCCTGAGATGGACATAAACGGGTCATTGTCATTTTGGTTCTGTGGTACTTTTTTTTTTTTTTTCTTTTTTGAATTACTGGTACACTGAGCAATGCTGATTTATATTCATTGTGTCAGTCTTCACCCAACATGCCTCCGCAAGCCATTTTTTATGGACAGTCACTAACAACACGTGAAGCACTTTGTATTGTTTGGATTCTCATTCAATCCTTTCAACGAGCTGCGATATGCATCATTTGTATGAGCTAAATAGCCCGCCATGGCAGGTGGGAGCGGTGCCATCTTGTACTATGCAGTCGGTGCGATTATGTGTTAAGTGGGCAAAGGCTACGGAGACGATGGGTTGCGTCGAATTAGGCTGCACGCGCAAGCATGTGGACCATCAACATGATGAAGTATCCGGCGGGACATTTCCCCCTGCCGTCGTCCTCCGGTAGTCTAATGAGAAGCCGTTTCCGTCGTTACCAGGTGTAGGAACTGGCTGCTCATGATGTTCTTCGAAGAGGCAAAATGACTCGGAAGGGAGGTTGAAAAAAAAAATGCAGATTTCTGTTCTCGTCATATTTCATGATTGATGACCATTTGAGACTTTCGGCTGATATCGAATGTTTTGCATGTCCTCAGCACATCTCGATTTTTTTGTGTGTGCAAAGCCGTATGCCGGTGTTCCCGATCAAACCTTTCTCATGACCTCTTTTCTGTTGTGTTTGTTTTTTTTTTGTCATCGTGTCCAGATTTGATCCACTGCACCAATGAGATGAACGTGAACATTCCCCAGTTAGCGGACACGCTGTTCGAGCGCACAGCCAACTCCAGCTGGGTGGTGGTCTTTAAAGCCCTTATCACCACGCACCACCTCATGATGTATGGCAATGAGGTGGGACACCACACACACACACACACACACACACACACACACACACACACAAAACAGAAGCCAAGGCTAGTCAGTGGAGTCAACATCACTGTTACTTTCTTACTCAACTCCCTACACAGCATAGTGGCACATTCTTGTGACTATTAATGCGAATGACGTTAGCATCAGCAGTTGGTCAATTGAACAGTGACAGATGCACACAAATGCCGCATTGCTCAACAGGGTCAAACATTGTCAATTAGACATATTTAGTAAATACTGATTAAATAGGAGTTGAATCTAAAACCTTGAGGTAAAAAAACAAAAAAAAAAACAAACAGCTTTGGTATGTTGGGGTCGTGTTTTCGGGAAATAAAATGAGAGTATGTAATTAAAAGACAAAAGTTGTGGTGGTTTCAGACAGGAATGAAAATAAGAGCTTGTGTTGTATCTCGTGCTGGTAAAGGATGCAGAATTTGTGAAAATTTTTAACACAAACTGTTGTGCAGCCGTTTTTATTTTTTTTCTCACACACCCAAGCCAATGCACTTTTGGGGAGTTGGTGTTTCCCTATCATGGGCGACGCTCCCTTTTGTCGGTCATTGCATCAACGATCTCTGAAAAGAGGAAGAAATGTGATATCTTGTTCTGTTTTTTTTTTTTTTTTATTGCCAAGCAACCTTCTGCCTTTTTGAGTTATTTATCAATAAAGTTGTGTTTAAACGGGTGTCACCCCCCGCCTTCCAAAATGGCGGTCTAATCAAATACTACGCTCCATAATTAGGCGGCTTCTGAAGTGAAGACTGTAAATACCATCGAGAGACTCTAGTTCATCACACGACTGTGTTAAATGTTTGCACAAGCTGTGCAAGTTGGTGTAACATTTTTGTTCAATCCAAATGGTGCTAAGTAGGTCGCTGCGGAGCTGCAGGGAGTTCTTGTTGTGTTCCTGAAATGGGCTGCGTTATCTAACTTGTTGCCTTCAAATGTAACTTATTTTGACTGTCAGGGTTGCTCGGAGCCAATCGCATTAGAATTGGTAAAATTGATTCACTGACCCAATTAAGATGATGTTTATTTTGTTCCCGCTCAAAGTGAAGGTTCAGATTTTATTTTTGACAGACTTGAGTTTGTCTCTCGTCACGCAAGGATTCTGAAAGTCACTGTATTAAATGTTCAAAGTGTACATCCTGGTATGTTAAAGGCTTAAGTGTCTCTTTATTACGATACATCAAGTTAAATACAACTGAACTGTTCTTTACAGAAGGTACAATATGTGTCCCTCTCCCTCATGGTCAGACCATCCATTTTCGTCACGGCTGAAAGAAATCTGCTCGTAAAATTAGAAACCACAGAATTGGGGTCAATAGACCGTACAAGTCTGGCTTGGCAATCTGTAAAGTCAAGAGTACGCTACGCAACCCGGTCATTTTAATTGAAAAGATTCTGTTGTTGCGGGCAGGCTTGAAAACGCCTCCTATTTCACTGGATCTTTTCAGGCAACAACGATTTCACTACATCGTAGTATCAGTGTAACTTTTCGGTTTCCTCAAAATAACTCCACACACAGCCATTCATGTCTAAAGCACTGGCAACAAAAGCGAATGCAACCCTGTGTGAAAAATGTCCAAATTGTCATAAAACAAATTACATTATGTCAAGGATTCACTGCACTGATATAAATGAAGGTCGGATTTAACAACAACAAAAATCTGAATTGGGCATCAGAGCCTGCAGTGTGAACGTAGCCTAAAAAGACAAAATTTGAAGGTGATTTTAATTGGGAAGGACTTAGTTGGAGGCTCCTTGTCGAGCCGTATCAGGTTGTGTCTGTATGCGATAGAGTAAGACGGATCAAAAACAGTCCAGCAGGAAGTTCCAAACAATGACTGCAAGAGCTCATTTCCACTCCCTCAGTTCCAGCCCATGTTCAGCTCTTTCTTTCTGTCCCTCAAAGCAAGGGGCTCGCCGGTAAAATAGAAATACACCCCCCCGCGACCCTCGAGGGGATAAGCGGCTCGGGTAATACATGAATGAGTGTTTTTCTTTTCTTTCGTTCGTACATTCTTTATATCTTCTTTTCTTTTTGTGAATTTTCTTGTATTTGAGGTACTCGCCTTGGCCCTCGTTTTGGCTTTTGTAACAACGAGTCAATGTTTTTGTCTCGCAAATGAAGCCCTCTGCAGCCCTGACGTTTTTAGACTGAAAAATTCTCCATTGGCAATTGACTTTTCAATAGCACTCGCCGTTTTCTCTTTTTTTTTTTTTTTCTTCACGTGTTTGTGTTTGCAACGAGCGTCCCGGCACAAGGTTGAACATATTACAATCGTGATGCTTCAATTCAGTATCTCTCACGACCGGATTGCTCCAGCCGAGGCTCTGAATGAAACGTGTTGAATGTGCCAAGGTGCATTGTGAACAAAAGTGTCCGTCGAGCGCAGGAGAGGATGAGCGAGAGTCGATGGGGACTGATGAGAGGCACGGACGAGATTGCAGATGTCAGCAGGGTCCTCTGCTTTCCCTTTGTGAATGCGTGCGAAGCGGTACGGCTGACACGAGACGCTGGTGGTGCGCTCGTGCACGAGCCCACCTTGTCCCAGATCAAAACCATTTGCCTCTGTGACATTGTCGAGAGCAGAACGATAAAAATAAACACAATACTGACACGAGTAACCTGACCGAGACAGTGTAATGATACTCGAGAGGCATATATTCTTTATCCTCGACAAAAAAAAAACAAAAAAAAAAAACCTAAAATTCCAGAAGCATTCCGAACTTTTATTTCATGTATGTGGCTGTTTGTACTCTGCTGGCTTCAAGTGGCCAAGACGCACAAGCCAGAAAGACCAGAACAGTGTCCAATGAACTAAAGCAAAAATATGGTTAAAACCATAATTCAATACATTCTGTTTAATTATGCCAATACTTTGTTTTTATAGAGTGCTTTATTGTCGAGTGCCAGGTTTCCGATCACAAAGAACAGAAATACAACAAATTAAACTCATTGCCATATGCCAGAGAAAATATTATTCCTGAAAGGAAATGCAAAGGACAGTTTATCCAGTCAATCTGAGCTCTGGAGGTTTTGAGGTCACACAAAGCGAGGTCATCACTTGCAATGTCTTCCCTAACGGCACAATCACCTCGGGCCAAACGCGCTTGATTAGCACAAAGTTCATATCAGTCGCTTTTGTTCCAGACTGACTTGTTTATCCATCCAAAGATAGCATTGTCAAGGCAAAAAAACCCAAAAAACAGGCTTGCATCGAGCACGTCAAGTCATGACATACAGTACATGCTTGAATTCCTACTAAGAGGCGATATTGGCCACTGGCAACCAGCTCGTGCGGTCGGAGCCAAACTGATGCAATTTTAAATCACGTTTATTGTGAGGCTGTGGTGACTTAATGAAATTCCCGATGCGTTCTCCCATGGCAGTGCGTGTGGCGGGACTCTCGGACTGTTTAATGTTCCATGAAATGATGGCGTTTCCCTCCCCCGGAATGCATTTGGTCATCTATTACAACAAGCCTTTCTTGCAGAATTTGGTTGGGCGCATTCTTTTGTCTTTTGTCTGGTTGAGGGAGAAGTCCTGTCATATTTGTAAAGACTTGGACACAGGGAAAGATGCGCGCTTTTCTTTTGAGGCTAGCCTGCATCGAATGCATAAGTAATCCATCAGGTTATCCTCCACAATCTTCTAACCTGAAGCTGTATCCATCTCTCACTCCTCTCTTGCCTCACACCTTTTTTTTTTTCTGGATCGTACTTGAAGCATCTCAGAAGTGTGCGGTGAATCATATTGGGCCCCAGCGGGGCTCCGACGTTGCGCTTGAGTGTTTCGGTCTCCTTTTGCAGCTGTATATCAGTGCACACACCGTGTGAGGCAGACTCTCATAGGGTGATGTGATGAAGCAAAGGAACACATTCAGAAGTGTCTCATTGTTAATATTTTAAAGCCACTCGGCACCGGTTGCAAATGCACACCCGGAAAAGTTGCATTAAAATGGATTCGGTGGCCTATTGTTAACGCCTGCACATTACGTTAACAACATTTTGCACTAGAAAGTGCCGCTATATGCTCAAGCCAGAATTTAGAATGGAATTGTCTCTTTAGGATTAATGATTATCCTTTTGGAAAACAATTTATATCCTCTCACGGGTGCTGTGGTTTCCCCCTTAAAGACTGAGTGTGCAGGCACCCCCCCCCGCCCCCACAAAAAAAAAGAAAAAGGAAAAGAAACTCAAATGAACGCGTCTTGAAACCGTTCCAATGCCTCCGGAAACGACTTCACGACAACACATATGTCTGTAAACAAATGTTTGTCTACGCTCCATCCGGCCGTGGTTCGCTGCCAAATCAGGAACTGGCAAAGTGGCAAGTCTCTCGAATATTTTCAAGTGGGCTTGACGGAGATTCTCAACGCGGAGCTCCCCAGCCCACTGACGATTACCAAGACAATGTACACGCATTCATGGATGCAAACAGAGACGTGATGACAGAGCCGTCGGTGGAGGAGGAGTTGAAAAGTTCACTTGGATTATTTGGAAGTTGAAACCAAGTGTTATATGGGGGAGGGGAGGGGGACGGTCTTCTCAAGACGTGCTTGCAGGACGAGTAGCGTCTTCGATTAATTCCCCCCCCATGTCTATTTTTGTCTCAAGAGTTAGTGAACACTGTGACGCATGTACTCTTCAGGTGTGTGCACTGTCGTTAGCCCAAAGTCTTCCATGTTCCAAATACAATGTACATGCAGAAGCAAAAGAAAACCTTCAGGTGGTAAAGACTTGATTATAATATTTGTCCAATTGGCAGCTACTCACTGAGGCTCTTTGCCTTTCTAGATGTGAAGCGACTCCCCCCCTCCCCCCCCAATCGTTTCTTTTCCCGCAGCTAATGTCTGTTTTATTTTCATCTCCCAGCGTTTCATCCAGTACCTGGCCTCCAGTAACACATTGTTCAACCTCACCAACTTCCTGGACAAGGGAGCCCTGCAAGGTAATAATACAAAAAAAAAAAAAAAAAAAAAAAACGTTTGCATCTTATCCCTGCTTGTTTCCTCACAAATAAAGCAAATGTGTTCAAGCCGCACATTTTTTCCTTCCTTCCGTCCTTTCGCAGGTTACGACATGTCGACCTTCATTCGGAGATACAGCCGTTACCTGAACGAAAAGGCCATGTCCTACAGACTTGTGGCTGTGGATTTTACCAAGATGAAGCGGGGGTAGGCAATGCGAAATTCCCCGAGCCCATCCTCATCATCCTTTCACACAGCCTCGAGAGGAGAAGCGAAATCTATTTTCTGTACCGCTCGTTCAAGCACCTTAAGTGCCTTTGTTCGCATCAGTGCGAATCCGGCACAATTGTGACGTACAATTAGCCAACTAGCATAACGAGTATCTGCCATGGCTGCTTAAGAGTGCCTCGTTGTTATCCATGAGTGCATGCGCTTCATGCAGAGAGTTTTGTAGTCATACTTGACAGACAGCCTGTGGACCGGGGCTTTGGGCTTTAGAGTGCCTCGTTGTTATGGCGTGAAAAAGCCTGGTGGGATACATCCCAGTAGCCAGACACTTAAAGCAGTTGCAAACATGCAGTTATGTCGAAGCATAAGAAAGATGCTAAACTAAGGAGCATTAATTTTCGACGCATCGTAAAATTGGTATTTGATTGACAGCTGACGTGAGCAGGGCGTGGCTTCAGCACATTCAACTGGCACGCCCACAAATGGCAACTTGTCACAATTACAGCCTAATTTTCTTTTTCCTTTTTTTTTAAATTTTAATAATCCAACTCTGGCACTGTTGTTTACCACTCTCTTCTCCGTGTTTTGTCCAATTTCAAAGACATTTATTTTCATTTTACAATGACTTTTTGTGAATAATAACGTCAGTGTGAGCTCGTCCTTGATGAGACGTAAGAATCAAAGCCTCTTGAACAATGCGGAGATCCTTCGTTTCTGATTCTCAAATCAGTTTTCACTTGCAAAGCACACGTGGCTGCGCTGACGCTCATTATGTATTCATTCTTTGTGTTGTGCGGGTTTTCCTAATTTGCACCAAAACATTTGTCACTGCGCAGGACCGACGGTGTGATGCGAACCATGAACACGGAAAAGCTGATCAAGACGCTGCCCATAATTCAGAACCAGCTCGATGCGCTGCTGGATTTCCAGGTACTGTGTGTGTGCGTGTGCGTGTGTGCCCGCACATGTGAGCTGATAGTTGAACGATATTAATTCTTGTCTCTCTGGAAATGGGCGCTCAACCCGTTTGCTTCCACCTTCCTCCTCCTCCTCCTCCTCCGCAGGCCAACCCGAACGAACTCACTAATGGTGTGATCAACTCTGCCTTCATGCTGCTCTTCAAAGACTCAATCAGGCTGTTTGCTGCTTACAACGAAGGGGTCATCAACCTCTTGGGTAACGCGCTCACCTTGAATTAATTTTTATTATGATCTAACCTACAAGCGCAGCAGATTAAGACCGTCGACGCTTATGTCGGTTTGGTTGCCATGGCAGCGGCGTAGGTTTCCAAACGCATTCACAGCTTATCATCCTTGTGCATTTTTCTTTTTTTTCCTCGTCTGCATCGCCCTCTTCCTCCCTTTCCCCTGCCCGCTGCAGAGAAATACTTTGACATGAAGAAGAACCAGTGTAAAGACGCGCTGGATATCTACAAGAAGTTTCTTTACAGGATGACGAAGCTGTCAGAGTTCCTCAAAGTGGCCGAGGTATGCACAGACGCACTCACATGCGACCAATCCACATTGCCCCCTTCTCTGCCTTATCCTGACCAAGACGGATGCCCTCGCGGCCCGCGAATCATCCAGTGCCTGCGAATCGTCCCTCTTGTCTTTTCGCCTCTCTCCTTTGCACCGAGCCTGACACGAAACAGTGCGAGTCAGCGGCCGTCACGTCAACCCCCGCTCGAACGAATCCCATTGTTGTGTTCTAATTAGCTCTCAGAGCTATTCGAATAGACATTTTTTTTTCCCCCAGCTGATTAAAAATGATGTAAAGAAACTCTGGCTACACATTTAAATATGCGTCAGCGGATGATTTCTTCTGAGTCGCAAATGTCTTGAGGCAAAATCTGGATTGATGTTTCCCAAATAAACCCCATCCATCAAATTGCTTATTGCTTTAGGGATGTGCACGGCTTGAAAATCAAACTCAAAAGTACCTGAAACGTTTGGCCAGGAATAACAAAAACTAATAATTGAAAAGGATATTGGATGTTCATTTCACAAGGAAGCTGATGCAGTAGGTTTATGGGGCAAAAATGTTTTAAAAAACTGCTCAAATCTGGAAAAGCAAGGTAAATATAATTCCAAAAGGATGGCAAATAACTGTATTTGCTCCGTCCCCTCCAAAATAAACCAAATTGTTCTTGCTTGACCTCAATCCGACCTCAGTTTTTACTTTTCTAGATGTAACAGCTGCTTTGGATGCTGCACCCAAGTGATGTGAGGCAGACGTAGAAGCCCTGACGGTGACTTGTTTAATCGTACTTGACCTCGTCGTCTTTATCTGTGTCCCAAGAGTCCACGTATCTGTCGGAGCTGTTAGTCCTCCTGCAGCTGGGTTTGCTGTCGGTGTCCTTTTTTTAATTTATCTTTTTTTTTTCTTTTTTTTTTTATCAATGTGTTGTCGTCACAACACGATTCATCACAGCCGTCATGCCATCCTCCACCTCACGTTGGCCATTTCACACCGATCAATCGCTCCGTGTGGCGTCACCAATTTCCGATTTGCTGTCTTTTTTTTTTTTTGTTTGTTTGTTTAGCGCATGAAGGAACGATTTGTTTTCTCACATGGACCCTGCTCTGTTTTCCTCCATTTTTTTCCCCACCCACCTTCCTCCCTATCTTTATTTTTGTTTTTTTCTACGACAGGAAGTTGGAATAGATCAGGGTGACATCCCCGATCTCTCGCAGGTCAGTGTACATCTCACCTCCTTCTTCTCTTCTTGCTTTTCTATGCCTTGGCTCTTTCTCCCTTTCTGTCCCAACACTCACGTTCCCATTCATGGACTCGCCTCATTTATCCACTGATTGTACCCGTTTATTTCCACACTCGCCAACAAGCTTTCCCGTTCACTCTCCACTCACTTATTATTATTCTTATTTTTATTATTATTATTATTATTATTATTTCAACAATTTTTCTGGTCTTGTTGTTGGGAGGAAGGCTAGCTCCCACCTTTTTAATTATTTCTTTTTTTCGGCATTGCGGGCTCATAAGGGCTACCGTAGTAAGCTTAACTCGGCTGGAACGCTGCACCATCAGCAACTGCGGATTGCGACTAACTGCAATAATAAAGAGCCTTAAAGCATTATTCAAGTTCATCTTACAGTATCGAGGCCGGCTCGCCCATTAGGCCAGGGAGGCAGATGCTCAGCACTCCGGGGGGGCGGGAGGATCATCTTGAATATCATTAGTTTCTTTTAACTCTAAAAATGGAAAAGATATTCGGCCAATGGAGCAATACAGCAATTCCCAATTACCGTCATATGAAAAAATATTTCCAAATACGTGCAGAATGATCGACTTTTTGGGGGGGCGGATAAGTGTATATATCATCACCGGCAGAGAGAGGCGACAAAAAATGTTGCCACTTTGACTCAGGCCAACCCTGTACAGTGTGTACAGTATCCTCACTGAAATGAAATGTTACCGCCTGGCTTCAACTTTGGATTGATTTTTAATACCTTATAGAAGGCAAAAGTAACAGAAATTCAGCCCCCACCATCCCCACTCCCCAAAAAAATGCAGCCGTAACAAACCTCATCATGGTTTGTCACAAATTATCCTTTCTTCTTCCTCCTGTGTCGCAGAAAACAAAAGGATCATACATTGTAGGTGTTGGGTTGCATACTGCGTTACTTCCTCCTTTCCACCCGTTTCGACACCCCTGCATGCAAGAGCGCCTTTTTTATTTTCTCTCGCAAGCGTGTGATCTCGCAGGCGCCGCATGCACACGCAGGCACGTCGGCTCGCTTGTTGCCTTGCTTTACAATCTGCGCCCGGCCAACTCGCGCAGATTGCTTTCTGCCCTCTCGCGGGCAGACTGCCACGGCAAGCGAAAAGGCCATGAAACTCCATGAATAGAAAATGAGCCTCCGTCTTCATCTGCATGACTCCCTCCGCCGGGTTTCATTTGAATTCGCTCCCTTCCCGTCGCTGTCGCGCGCGGCGTCTCGGGAGAGTTGCTTTTAATCGCGCCTGACCTCAGATTTCCCGTGTAATCATGATGCGGGAGACAGAAAGATATGAGTGGCAAACGGAATGATCTCTCTCCCCCCCACCCCCAACCCCCTCCTTGTCCCTAAATCTTGTATCATGAATGATTAATAGCATCGGGCACCCAACTGATTGTGTGTCAGCTAATATTGACTCGGCTTACAAGATCCTCTTCTCCAAGCAAACTACTGTCTCGCCCACCGCAAAGAGCTCACGAGACAAAATGCTTCCAGATGTGCGTGCGCGCGCATTCCTGTGGCTGGTGACGTTGTCATATTTTCACTCGAGAGGAAATTGCTCTCCTCCGTGCTGCTGCAAGAAGCAAAAGCGCAGCTGAAACGTGGATTTCTGCGGAGAGTGGAAGCCGCCTCCTTGGCTCGCGTTCGCGCCTCAAGTTGAGCGCATTTGAACCATCGCATTGTCCCAACTGATTTATCTTTCGGCAACCGACCCGCTCGAGATTTGAACCGAGGCAGAAATGAGTGCCGCGCAGGGCGCTTGTTGTGGAAGGCTGAGGATGCTGAAAATATGCACAAAAAAAAAAAACAGAAAAAGAAAACGCATGACGTCTCTATCGATACCCGTTTCCTTGCTTCTTTTTGTTTGAGAGCTTTATAGTGTTACTCCGCTCACCGTGTCAATGTTTGCTGCATGTTGCCATGGTTACCTTTCACTGCCTAATGCACTCTCTTACCTTCCTGTGAGACCAAATTCTTCCATCTGAGAAACACGTGTTACTCTCTCATGTGTGGGAGGCGACATTATACAGAAAGTTGACTTGATTCAAGTCAGTTTACATAATTTAGCCCCCCCCCACCCCCACACACACATCTGTTGTCCCTATCCTTTTTGTCTCAAGGCCCCCAGCAGCCTCCTGGAGGCTCTGGAGCAACACTTGGCCTCCCTGGAGGGCAAGAAGACCAAGGAGCTAAATGCAGACGCCAGGTAAATATTTGGCAGATGACAGCGGCTCCTAATCAGCGCCGCTCAATTTCCTCCGTGCGTTGGTCTCTCGTCTTGCAGAGCGTCCACCCTGTCCAGTGCCGTCTCATGTCTCGCCTCCACCGACATGTCCTTCGCCCGCATGGATGAAAAGGAGAAGCAGCTGGCCCTGGAGGAGGAGCAGGCCCGACTGCAGGCTCTTAAGGTAACCGGCAGCGACTTGTGAAATGTAACAAGGTTTGAAGAATTATCCTGCGGGTGTACTTGGCAACGCTAAGTGAGAGTTGGAGTGAGCGAGCGAGGATCTTGGCGACGCGACGGCGTCCACATGGACTCGACACGCACCGCTAGTGTCCGTCTGGAGCTTGCGCTGCGATAGCAGCCTTTCCCATTTGTTCCTTGTTGCACTGTTGGAATGTAAATGAAGAGGTCTGCCGCCTTTATAAACTCACACACACACGAGACACCTCGAATCCGGAGTTGATCCCAGCGAAGAAATTAGATCATCGCGCCACAGTATTAGCACATCCGAATATCAGAAATACAAGCTGTCAGACAATAAAATCAGCCAATGAAAATGTTTGGAAGGTCCTGGTGTGAAAGTGGCTTTTCGTCTGAGGTTGCACGGTGGATTCCCGGCCGCAATCGAGCTATATTCTTGTATTTTTAAAGTCCTGTCATGTTTGCTCATCTTAAAGCTGCAGCAGAGGACATGTACTGCTTATTAATTTGCATTGATTCGGGTCGGCTGGCCCTTTTAGTTTTGTTTTTTTAACACTATTGATGTGTCCTTGGGCCACCTTAAAAGTACCGAATGTATTTAAAGCATCACTGTTCATGCTTCGAATCCCAAAAATGAAATGGAGGGGAAAAATTGTGTATGTGCGTGTCCGTTTTTTGCCAGGATCAGCGTCTGAAGGAGATCAGCATGCAAACTCCGCCCTCTGCCTCCCCCAGCAACCAATCCATAGGCAGCACCCACAACAACAACCACATCACGCCAACGCCAGAGTTGTTCGGCTCCACGCTCTCAGCCAACAGGTGTGAGAGAACATTCTCTTTGTAAATTGAGAGTGCCGTTAACTGCCTCACGGCTGCAATAGTGAGTGACGTTTTGAAGAGGAATTTTCCAATGACGGCTTTCCCTCATGCATGTAGGTGCAACAATAATAATTAACAAAAAAGTCAAATACAGGAGGAGAGCCAGTTCCGAGATAAAGCCACGTAGCAAACAACGACATGATGGAACATTTCAAAAAGGGAATGGCAGTGTTTGCAGCTTTAAGTGAAGCAGTCTGGGTCGTCTGCAGGGAAGTGACATCACACATGCGCGATGTCACATTTTAAACACATGATATGGCTGAAAAATGATATGGGTAATGATCGGATTTTTTTTTTCTCCAAAATAAGGACCCAGAAAAAAAAATACTGAATTTCGGTACTTTTAACATATCAATGTCAATATAAGGATGAAATAAACAACTATTTAGACATAATATGCTTTGGAGGGCTTGGCAATATGGCTGGAAAAAATGTCATTAATAAGAAAAACAATTCAATTGATCAAAGATCAAATTTAGAACAAATTATGCAAAACTATTGAAATGCCATTCAACATAAATGGTAGTCAAACAAATTGTCATGGAATGTGCACAGTTTTTGTGTTCATTGTCGTGTACCGGTAGTTCAATCTGCAAAGTTCCTCCTCCGGCAGTGCGCTGGAAGTGTTCATTTTGCGGACGACGCGAGCCCGTGCCAGGGGTGACAGTCCGTTCATGTTTCACTTGCCTGATAGTGACTTGAGATAGTCGCCTCTACTTTGATGATGCTTTTGTCCATTTTTTTTTTCCTCAGCCGCGGCCTCCATAACGCCATCTTATTTTCTCACCGCTTTCTTTTTTTTCGTGGCCCCTCAGTGTGCCCCACCTGAACAGCGACTTGTTTGATCTGCAGCCAACCTTCATCCCCGCGGTGCAGTGCACTCCTTCCATCTCCTCCGCCAACAGTGCATGGGGAGGTACGCCACACGCGCTCTCACACGCACATAGATTGAAGATATGTTCAGAGGAACGGCTTCAGACAGGCAGATAAGCAAGTACGCGAGTGCTTCCATCATCCCATATCTTCTTCATTACCATCACCGCCCGCCCACCGTCATTGTGCACCCCCCCCCCACTTCATTTCTTGATTTTACCACCATTGTCTTGTAAAAGAATTCATTAAGTGCTGTGTGGTTCTGCCATATTCACGTAACGTCACCATCCTCTGAAAAACACGCATGTCCATTTTTGTCACTTTAAAATTTTTTTTTTGTTTGTTTGTTTAATGGGATGTCTGAAATATAGTCACATCATTAACTTAAAAAAAAAAGAACAACAAAAATGGACATGCAGCAACGATAAGCAGCATTCCTGTCAGCGTAGACTCTGAAATGTTTTCATCTATGGGTTTTGACCTTTACGCAATGCAACCATTTAGTAGCGACATGTCCGAAGAGGCTATTGAGCTTGCTTCCTGAAAGGTTAGTTGTTAAGCGGAACTCGTTCTATTATCTGGTTAAATTTGTCACTCGGCTCTTGTCCCGGGAGAGCCCGCCACCCCCCTCAAGATTTTATTCCATGGCAGGGATGCAGCGACCCAAACCAAAAGTGAATCAATGAATTTCCTCATGCCGAGGATTAGCTGTCCTTCAAAAAAAAAAAAAGCCAGTATAATTTGTTCGTAAACGATGACAATTCAAAACACTAAGACCATCACGTTGATCAACACTGGCAGCCACATATGATCTTTGTGTCTTTTATTTATTTTTAATTGTTTTTATTAATTTTTGACCGTGGTGAAGTTCTTCCAAAAGGAAGCAGCACTTATACAATAACGGAACTACATCCCTCAGGACTGGAGAGCCAGCCCCTGCAACAGAACGCCCCCGGCATGACCGTAGATTTCGATGCCGTGTTCGGGAATAAGGCCGCTCCTGCTAACGACGGAACACAGCCAGCAGCCGGTAAAGCTTTGTACCCGTCCCACCGTCCAGGCTGGAAACTAAAAACTTTTGGCTTTGTGGCCCGCGCCAACATTGCTTTTGATTAACCCTCGTTCTTGCAACTTGTGGCTGCTGTTCAACAGAGGGGGTGGGGGGGCGTGCTTTGCTACCTTTCCTTGTTACTGTGTTGCACCCTGTTGAATTTTTTCATCTTAACTTGAAAATTAACTTACAATAGAGATCAGGTCATCATTTGACTGTTAATTATTTGCCACAAAGTTATGAAAAAAAATTCTCTTGATAACTGATTTACTTGGCGAAATAAAAGGGCCTTCCGTTGTTTTGTTTTGTTTTTTTTTCGCTCCTTCATACATTCTCTGGCGTACACCTGCTCAGCTCCAGCTCTTCTTGCGCCTTCCTTCCTGTTAGCGTGCAATCAAGGTGCAATTATTTTCTAGTGGATCTCCACTCTGATAGCTCCCATCCATCAGCACGACTCCCGGACTTTAATCAGCCAGCTGTTTCACACCAGCCACCGATGCATGTGCCATTCAGTGATGTTGTTGTTTTTCTTTTGAATGTGTGTTGGAAAGAAGAGTCAAAATGTACAAGGTGATTGAAAATGTAGTTTAGGCTTGTGCTAAAATAAAGGCAAATGAACCGTGAATTAATATGAAAAAAAATATTCGTATCCACCGACCAACCAAAATGAGCACCTTTTTTTGTTGTTGTTGTTTTTCCCCAAATTGCAGCCTTTGAGATTTAAAACTCGTGTTCTATTCCATTGCGACGTCGATACGAATGTGCTTAATTGTTCATGTGTCCTTTGTGCCTCTGGCTTCTCCCTCTGTCTTCGTAATGCATTAAAAGCTGCCTTTCGGACTGCCAACCCATCTGCTTGACTGGCCGCATCTCACCACAGTGATTTTTTTTTTTTTTGCCCATGTTTTTTGCCATGTGTGTCTGTGTACATGTATCTGCCTCTTCTTACGCCTCCTTTTGCCATTTTCGCTTTGTCTCGTTTGTTTTTTTTTTTTTTTTTTCTTCCTGTCCGTTCCTTCAACACCAGCATTCATTTTGCCTGCGCCATCACACTTGGCAGGAATCACCCAGGCAACTCGGTTCCATCTGCTCTTCTCCTAGAATCTCTTTCGCCGTGCATTGTACACGTCGCGCATAAGATCTCATCTGAAAGCGGTCTTTTGTTCCCCCCCACCCCCCTGTGCGTGCGACGTTTGCTATTCCAATCGAACACGCTGTGTTTTATCACCTTCACGTCTCACTGCCCTCTGCTCTATTTGATCTTCTCAGGAGAATTTTTTTCTTTCCATCCCTTCTCCCCCTCCGCACTCATAATTCACTTGTATCCAGCAGGCTTCACTGAGACAGTGCCAGAGGTTTTTTTTTTTTAATCTAAATTGTACATCATGAGAATTAATAACTATAGCAAACTACTGCTTCCTGTGGGAGATATGTTGCAAAACCCTTCTGTAGTCGATGAAAACCTGCTTGACCATGTCAGAATTGTTCATATATTTTTTCCTGTTTTAAACACATTTGCACATAAGACTGAGCAACACTTTTTTTTTGGTGCTCATTTTTCTTTTTTTCCACCATATGCGGCCTTCCTTCCTGGCTTCCCTTCTCCCATCTGCGAGGCTAGCAGGAAAAGTGTGTGCTGGATGTCTTGTGTCAGCACTACCATCAGCTCTACAAACCTCTTGCTAACTACTACCCCCCCCTTTCTTTTTCTACTCCCCTCTGTGCTTCACGAGGTCAGCGTGGTCATCTTGCAACCGGTTTTGGCTTTTTTTCCCCCCCGCATTCATTTTCGTATGGCCTTTATTTTAAAGCCTTGTTGCTCGACCACCACCAGGCTGAAACACTTCCTGGCTTGTAGCAGCAACGGGCAGTATTACTGACTCATTAGCTCAAACGAATGCTGACATCCCGAGTTGTTAACCCCACCAGCGACGCTCACGCGCCGGCACGGCAAATTGCTTGCTGCCATTTGGGCCCACTGGCGACACATTGACAGATTCACAATGAGTCCACCCTCGCGAGCACACGCACGGCGGGTATGGAAATCGATTCCTATCACAGGACGGCTTGTATCGCCGCCGCAGGTTTTGACACCCTGGGAGATCTGCTGAAGCCGACAGTTCCCATACATGCCGCCCATCCTCTCCCGCCGCAAATGGTCTTCCAGTCTGGTGGAAAGCTGCTCGCCAATGACCTGGACTCCTCCCTGGCCAACCTTGTAGGCAGTGAGTGAAACATCTGGAACGCCGTGCTGTTGCAGTCTGTCTCTCTGGTCATATATTGGTGATAGCCTGAGTCGTCTTCTTTTCTCAGATCTGCAGTTTGGTGGAACCCCATCCAAGAAGTAAGTCTGATACATTTGAACTCAATCTATAGCTATGTAAGAAGTTGAGCCAGTGGTTATCTACCACAATTGCGCTGTGGAGTTAGCAAGCTGGGTTATTCTCCACCACGAAAAATGCATGCCATGCTTCGGATGGTCAGCTGGCTTGGCTGCTTTAGTGTGCCTCGTCGTTGGCCATGAGTGCGCGTGCATATCATGTCACTCATAAAAATCCAAGTGAAAAATCCTGACATGTCCTGGTCTTGTCTGCTGCTGGCCCTCCAGGCCGGACATGCAGTGGAATCAGCCCGGGGAGAAGAAGCTGACGGGCGGACAGAACTGGCAGAACAAGACCATGTCCACCACCCAGTGGAGCCCCGCCCCCATGGTCCCGCCTCCCATGCCTGTGCCACACGTGGTAAGATGCGCGCATGGTGCTCGCATTGTGTACATGAAGACAATCTTATCATGAACCGTGTTTTTCAGAATTCACTTTTTTTTTTTTTTCCGACCATGATCGCCATTCCCCTCGCCGCAATTCGTTGGAATCAGCACTTCCTGCTCCGCTTGACCTCCTCATGCACTTCTTCCGGCAGTTTTGCAGCGCCATCCCCTCGTCTTCCTTTCCTCACTTTGCTTGCTTCACATTTATCGCATCTCCGTTTTGCTTCGTCATCTGCTTGCGATGATTTTACGCAGCTTTGCCCTCGACTCCTCGTCGGCGGCGCTTGACCCTCCGCCCGTTTTTATTCCTTTGTCTTTCTCTTTGGGTCTTTCTTCCCTCACTCACCCCCCCCCCACCTTTTGCTGTTTATCTGTCCACTCATCTCTTTGTGTCTTTTTGTCTCTTTTTCCTGTTGCATCCTGTTGCAGAATGGAATGTTCTATACTAGTTATGTAAGTACCGATCCACTAACGCGACTTGGTGATAAGCTGCCTTTTTCTTGTGCCGTTTCCCTGTCCAATCTGTTTTTACTCTTGACGCTAGCAGGCAACGATTACGCATCTGTTGGCATTCCCCAACTGTGGTGGGGGGAAAAAAATGCTTTTGTTATATTTGCACGCTTCTGTGCTTGGAGGCCCATGCGGATAGTAAAACTGCGCCAAACATGTCAGCGTGTCATTGCCTGACTATTGTGAACAAGTCTGCGAGGACGTTCAATTGCCACGTTGCCGTGCAGGAAGCAATGGCTGCTATGGGGCCTATATTTGCATTCTAACTTGCCAATTAGTTGGATTGAATCAGAGGGCAAGACTTAAATGTTGGCCACTGTTATGCTGTACTTGCACCGAATCTCCACTTGACCACCATTTAATGTTTGCTCCTCATGCGTACACCGGACCGGGGATTACTTTTATTGCTTCCGGTGTCAACAATTCCTACTACAGGCACGGGCAGCAACTTTTCCACGCATTAAAGCTTATACACTCCATTTCAATTCCCAGAGGGGCTCTGCTACGCTGGCATCCGCCTCAAATCTTTTTTTTTTCCCCTCCCCCCCGCCCGACCACTTCTGAGTTATTTCCCATTTCCTTCAAGGCTCCAGCTCCCGTGGCTTTCCCCATGACGACACCGCAAGTGCCTGTGTATGGAATGGTGAGGGGAACCATTATCTAAATCGTACACTTTGGAACAGGTTTTTATATAGATTGAGAATATAAACAGCCTCTACTCCAACAACCATCATGTTGATTGAATGTTTTGTGATATGTTGAACATATTTATCTCACAAACAGTGGAGGGATTTTGTACCACAGTGACCAGACTGTCCCTTCCAAAAGTATTGGGACGGCAGCGTCAACACAAAGGAATTGACCGTCCAATTCCAGGACTTTTGGAAGGGAAGTGCATAAAAGACAATTTTAGAGTTTCTGACTGTGTCATTTTTTTTTTCTGTGTAGGTACCCCCCCAGATGGGTCAGGTGGGTGGGGTCCCAGTCATGGCTCCTCAGCCGATGATGTATAACCAGCCTGTCCTCAGACCCACTAATCCCTTTGCAGCCATGCCTGGTGCCCAGGTGAGATTACGTCGTTGACTTCTATGGAATTTGAGATATAACGCTAGTTAGTGTTGCGCACTTTTTTTTTTTTCCTGGTGTGCCGCTTTATTTTCTGCAATCTTTCTGTCTTTATTCAGATGCAGTTTATGTAATCTAGTCAAGGGCGGGTGGAGGGGGAGTCGAGTGCCAAAAGCGACAAATTTACACAAAGAAGACAAAGACACAAGAGGAGCGATTATTTGATCAAGCTTAAACGGACAAAGACTGCGACGCAACCGATGCCGCCAAAGCAAGTTGATGAGGCTGGAGGGATTGCCGTTGTCTGAAGCAACACGCGAGTGTGTGTGTGTGTGTTTGCGTGTGTATGGATGCATGGGTAGCTCGCTGCATTGCTGGATGTTTGAGGCTGACAGAAACGGGTGTGCCAGATTGGCGACGGTGGGGAGGATGCATGTGACTGAGGTGAGGGTCTTTGCTGCCACATTAGCTTTATTTCATACTGGTGCTACTTTGTCCCCTTTTGGCTGCGTCGGCCTGCAACTGTCTGTGTGAGGACGTGTGTGTGTGTGTGTGTGTGTGTGTGTGTGTGTGTGTGTGTGTGTGTGTGTGTGTGTGTGCGTGTGCGTGCGGCAGCTGCTTCAGACAAGCATCCTCCCCTTGAAACCACTCCCTCATGCGCCAGCCGATCTGTGAGTCCACTCTTGTGATTATGGTAATTGTTTTGTTCC